AAACTAGCTTTTACCCGCGACTCCGTTCGCGTCTAATAGTGACTTACTGCTGATTTTTGGTTTAAAAACTATCCTATGTCCTTTCTCGTGTTCCAAACTATGTCTGTACCAAATTTCACAGAAATCGGTTCAGTAGTTTAGGCGTCAAGAAAAGATAGACAGACAGACAGACAGAGTTACTTTTGCATTTATAATATTAGTTTGGATTATACTGATTTGCCAAAACAGCTTACAAGTTGCCATAGCCAACAAATAAACGATGCAGTCTAAAGTTTAAAATTAGAATCTAAAGTATTCCAAATTCAAATTAGATTAGGTAGTATGCGCGGGCGCACGGTATAGGTAGTAATCTAAATTTAACCGTTAGTTTGGCTTGCCAGCCAGTGATGTAAGATTGATCATGATTATACATGTTTTTTTTAAGGTAAGTATAAGTCGGCAAACGAGCAGACGGATTACCTGATGGTAAGCAATCGGACCACCCATGGACACCCGCAACACCAAAGGAGTTACGAGTGCGTTGCCGGCCTTTTGGGGATAGGGGTTGCGGATATAAGGATCGGGAAGGGATAGGGGAAGGGACGGGGTTTGGGCCTCCAGGAACCTCACTCACACGGCGAAACACAACGCTGTGGGTTGTTTCACGCCGGTATTCTGTGAGGCCGTGGTATCCCTCCGGTCGAGCCGACCCATTCGTGCTGAAGCTTGGCACATACTTGTTGTTCTAACCATGTTCAGAATAATGATCACCGTCTGCTATTGTGTTGAACCTGGTTTGATTTCTGGTTCAGAAAAAAGGAAAATTGCATTCGCTACTGTGTTGATCGGAGTGACACCACGGCCTCACAGTACACCGGCGTGAAGCCTTGTGAGTTTTTATGCCAAAAATCTGCAGGAAGTCACTATTTCACGCGAATGAATTTGCGGGCAAATGCTAGTATTTTTGTTATGTATACGTTTAATTGTGGAAATATTAGTATCAGCATAGCATCCGTGGATGGATCGTGATGGATCGTGGTACTTCATGGAAGTCTCCTCTCGATAAAAATCTAAAAACCACACGAGCAAAATCGCAGGTCCAAAGTCATTCTGTCTCCTGCATTAAATTTACCGAGGGAAGTGGGAACTATTTCGTTTTTTCTTCTCCTCAAATAATATCTTCTGATTTATTTCGTTGCGGGATCCAAGACAGTCATTCATGTCCCTGGGAGGCGCCGGACTTCAGTGTTCCGGTGTTTTCATGGTTGTATCTACTGCAGATCCTGGTGCACAGGAGTTGCAGCGCTTTAAGAAGTTGCGGTTTGACCCATTAAAAAAAAAGATCCTAAGCTATACGCAGAGCAGTGAGCCGCGCGCGCCTCAAAGAGCCAATAGACCACCACAGACCGACACTACCTATAGGGCTGATGTTCAGCCGGGGTTGCGGGCAAGCGCAATGAGGCACCGCGACCTCGGCCCAGAGCAGGAGAAGGAACAGGGGGGTTTTTAGTCAGTAAGAGTCTGACACTCCCTCCTGCTCGACCATGGGCGGAAGAAGGCATTTGATAATTTTCCCCTCACAAAAAAGCTATGTACATATAAATATGTAATTAGTTAGTATAGAAATTCCCCAGACCTTTCCTGTTCACGGACCACCACATTAAAGCGAGATCGTGAGCGCTTCGTATGCTAAAGTTTCTCAGAAACTTAATCACTGCCGTCATCATTACTGATGAGGGATCCGTTTCGGACAATTTATTCAATTTAATTTTACCAGTATCTTACCAGTTAATTTGCACGGGGAATTTTGGAGATATTTTGGTTAAGATAATATGTGTTCAATTACGAGATGGATAAAGTTTACAACATATAATTTACGCGGGAAATAATTGAGTAGTTTCCTAGGTCAAAAATAAATTAATTCGACGTTTCAATACAATAAAATATCAAAAACATAACTATACTTTTATTCAACGATCGATCGATACACTAAGTTTTAGATATTTTGTAGCTAATTATTAAGAAATAGGTAAGCTATTTGACGCAAAAACACTATGACGTCATAACTCAGATTTTCATACAAATTTAATAGAAAAGTTTCGTATTTCACGTTTGGATAAAAGTATTGAATTTGACTAATTGGAAACTATATTACGTATTATTTAAATACCTTGGTAGGCTTGCCGTTTCGACCCGGTTGCACAGGTCTTGGTGACAAGCAGACTCCATGGAAGGATACATTTTTTTGATTAAAAACTATTGTGAGACATGCTTAATTTTATTGTAAACTAGCTCTCTCTATGTCAGCTTGGAGCTGTCAGGCTCACTCAAAGGTCACATTGGCGGTGGCACGGTCACTGGATCGCTCAATTCCCTTTATTATGGTTGAGTTGGGCCATGCTGGTGTACGTGTCACATTCGTGGGATTTCATAATCATTTGGGACTGGTCAGCTCCGGACAGTTTATTGCCCTTAAGGTTATTTTCTTTTTATGTTTCTCTGTATATTAGCGTTACACTGTTCTCACATAATCAAACAAACTAAATAATACTAAGTGTGACTAAGCGCTTTGCCTCGTCATTTATACCCCGTACATCGAGGGATTGGAACAGTTTAACAAATATAATTTAGGTGTCTTCAAGGCTAGGGTGAATAGGCTCTTAATAAACTAGTGCGCCTCACCATCAACGATTGTATCACTGCTTACCATCAGGTAGGATCGCAGTCAAGCACTAGTTTATAGCAAGTAAAAAAAAATTATCAAAGAATCTTTATGTGACACTGATTTAAAAAGTGTAACTATGGAGTTTCTTGCTCGTTCTTCCAGTTTCGGGAGGAAGAGACAGTAATATCCATTAAATAGTGGAGATATTTAGTATCAGCATTGCATTCCCGGGGAGGATCGCTAGTAGACTGCAAAACGTTACGCTACATTGTTTAGAAGCCGAGTAGCGAGATGAGCTAGTATAAACATAATTTTAGACAAACATACATATATCATCATCTATAACACGCGACAATAAACGAAATATTAATATATATCCTATAAACAATAACAATGACTTATCCGTATTTTTAAACAGTCTTTTTAGACCATTGTTATCCGAACTAATATTATAAATGCGAAAGTAACTCTGTCTGTCTTCACGCCTAAACTACTGAACCTATTTGTGTAAAATTTGGTACGGACATAGTTTGGAACTCGAGAAAGGACATAGGATAGTTTTTATACCAAAAATCTGCAGGAAGTTACTACTCCACGCGAACAAAGTCGCGGCCAAAAGCTAGTAGAGTATAAAGAGGAGGGGAATACTCCTAATTATGACGGACATGTTACATTGTCATTTGTTTTATGATATAGGTCGGCAAACGAGCAGACGGATTACCTGATGGTAAGCAATCAACGCCGCCTATAAACACCCGCAACAACGAAGAAGTTACGAGTGCGTTGTCGACCTCTTGGGGATAAGGGTAATTGAGATTTTGGTATTGGGGAGGGTTAGAGTTAGGCCTCCGGTAACTTCACTCACACGGCGAAACGGCGACAACGCTATAGTTGTTTCAAGCCGGTTTTCTGTGAGGCTGTGGTATTACTACGGTCGAGCCGACCCATTCGTGCCGAAGCATGGGTCTCTTACACTTAACTATATATTTTTTCTTTATATAAACGTTGGGATATCAATAGGATTTTCTCCTGTGTCGTGAGTGCGTTTACAAACATACAATTTCACATACACATCACACCCAGACCCGGAACAATAATTTATGAATCACATAAAGAGTTATTCCGTGCGAGAATCGAACCTAAGACAAGTCGAAAAGAGACGGACCCACTATATGAGCTGCTGTTTACATGTGAACATTAGCTCATGACGATACCTAAGTACGTGTGTCGCCTGGACAGTCAACCTCGCTACATCCTTGTTGACTGGACATCTACACTACATGAGCTGCTGTTTACATGTGAACATTAGCTCATGACGATACCTAAGTACGTGTGTAGCCTGGACAGTCAACCTCGCTACATCCTTGTTGACTGGACATCTACACTACATGAGCTGCTGTTTACATGTGAACATTAGCTCATGACGATACCTAAGTACGTGTGTCGCCTGGACAGTCAACCTCTCTACATCCTTGTTCACTGGACATCTACACTACATGAGCTGCTGTTTATATGTGAACATTAGCTCATGACGATACCCAAGTACGTGTGTCGCCTGGACAATGAACCTTAAATCTTTTTTTACGAAAGTGAAAAGTATTTATTAAAATCATCATTATTCCACACTGGTTTGAGTTTAAAATTGCATGAGTATTGTATAATTCTTTCGTTTTTAACGATTATTCGATTATAGTTTTTTTTGCGTTCATTTCAAAGTTGAATATCGCGTGTGTGTTGACTAATGCATAATGCAATTCATACTATGTGGTTTGTTTCGTAAAAAACGCGTTAAGCTACATTTCTCACGGTCATTTGTGGATGGGTCACCATTTTAAACTCATCCATAATTCTTTTAGCCAAGCTGGGAATGGGTCGGCTCGACCGGAGTGATCCCACGGCCTCACTGAAAACCGGCGAGAAACAACCACAGCGTTGTGTTTCGCCGTGTGGGTGACCGGAGGCCCAATCCTTCCCCACCCCTAATCCCTCCTCAATCCCTAAATCTCCAAATCCCTAATCCCTACAAGGTCGGCAACGCACTCGTAACTCCTCCGTTGCAGGTGTTTATGGGCGGCGCTGATTACTTACCATCAGGTAATCCGTCTGCTTGTTTGCCATAGTATACCATAAAAAAGCTGGCAACCTAATCATCCCATTAATATATTAGTTATGCTGATATTATAAACGCTACAGTGTGTAAGTACGGATTGATGTTTGTTACTCTCTCACTTAAACACTACTGAACGGATCTGAATGTAATTTGGCACACAGATAGATTATAGTCTGGAAGAATTTATAGGATACTTTTCGTTCACAGTTGTATTTTTTATAATAGTATAAATAAAAAGGTACTTACATCAGGGCATAGTCTGACTTCCTTGTGCCCGTATGCTGCCAACTCGGCTCAGCCTCTTCCCAATAGTTTGAACATGGAACCCAATGTTCTGCAACGCTTCATGATTCAAAATCTTCCGTCCGTCAAATATGTAAGCGGGCTTCATCATCACTTCGTAGATTTTCTTAAAGTCAAGAGCTTTGAACTCATCCCATTCTGTACACAACACTATTGCATGAGCCCCCGTCACTGCAGAGTACGCTGTGTCATGTATTTCCACATTTTTCTTTACAACTTCAGGCTCCGAAGTCAAGTACGGACTTGTTAGTTCGTAGAATATTTGTTCTTGTTCTACTTTAGGGTCATAAATGTGAAGTTTAGCTCCTTCATCAAGTAAAGTCTTTGATACATGAATGGCCGGAGACTCTCTTGTATCTCCCGTGTTTTTCTTAAATGAAAAGCCCAGTATCGCTATCTTTTTATCCGATACCGTGTTGAACAATGACTCTATGACTTTCCTGGTAAATCTTGTCTTCTGATAATCATTCAGGTTTAATACTTGTTGCCAGTACGCAGCAACTTCGGGCAAATTTAAACACTCACACAGGTAAATAAGATTGAGAATGTCTTTTTGGAAGCAACTGCCTCCGAAACCTATTGAAGCTTCAAGGAACTTCGGTCCAATACGAGAATCTCTGCCGACTGCCCGGGCTACTTCAGACACATCTGCGCCTGTAGCCTCACAGACAGCTGACAAGGAATTAATACTTGAGATCCGCTGAGCAAGGAATGCATTAGCAGCTAATTTAGACAATTCTGAACTCCAAGTGTTGGTAGTAAGGATGTTTTTTGCTGGTATCCAGTGCTCATACACCCAGCATAGTTCTTGGATAGCTCTCTGACCTTCCGGAGTATCTTCACCACCTATTAACACTCTCTCAGCCTCAACTAGGTCCACTATAGCTGTTCCTTCAGCTAAGAACTCAGGGTTAGACAGGATCTGATACTCAACACCTGGTTTGGTGTTAGCTCGGAGTATTTTCATGATGATCTCAGCTGCCTTCACTGGGACAGTGCTCTTCTCTACAACTATTTTATTACTTGTAGCCAAGTCAGCAATCATTCGAGCTGCACTTTCTACATACTTCAGGTCAGCAGCCCTGCCCTTACCATTACCAAACGTTTTAGTGGGCGTATTGACAGAAATAAATATTAAATCAGCCTCCTGAATGCCCTTAGCGATGTCAGTAGAAAAAAATAGATTTTTACCACGACATTGCTTCACTACATCGTCCAAACCAGGCTCGTATATTGGCAATTTCTCAGAATTCCATTGGTTTATTCGCTCTACTGACTTGTCACATACAGTTACCTGGATATTCGGACATTTCAGCGCGATAACACTGCAGGTAGGGCCGCCGACATACCCTGCTCCCAAACAACATATCTTCTCGATAACCATGTTTCAGAACACGCAACACACTCGCGAATGCACACACGACACACCACGGAAGTATTTAAAACTCTACACAACAGTTTACAGTACTATTCATTTAATTAATTTACAATGTTTCACGGACGCTGATTCTATCGACGATTTTTATCGGACATCGGCAGTTTTAAGGGTTTTTTGTCGCGTTTTTGTGATAATATTGCATTTAACACATGTGGCGACCAAATGTTTGAAAGGTTGACCTGAAATTACCGCTTGCGCGGCACTCTCAAGCTTTTTATTGTGCGACAACAGGCTCCGTGCAATCGGAACCGACTGATGTGCGGTGTCAATGACATTTGGTATAGGGATGGGGCAAACACAACGAAAATTCACTATAAAAACGTAAATAATGATTCTCGGAATTTGTAATGATTTGATAAAAATACGTCGTAAAGATTAATACGTTGATTTGCTAGCACACTTAGATAAAAATATTTATTGTATTTATATGTGAACAGGAATCAGGTTAGAATTAGAGACGTAGATTTAAAATATTGAGAACTATTTTTTTATTCTTATCACCTAATAAAATTTATTGAAAATATTATTGACGCAATAAAATAAATCTTGATAATCGACTATATCAGGCTGTTATTTGCGTGGATTTTAAATCAAATATACCTATAAATCGGTTCCTCTAATTTCCACGCTAGGTACTCACAGGTAGAAGTAAACTTAAATATCAGTTTATGATTAGTAAACATGTCTTTTTTTAATTTATTTGTACAAAAACAGTATGATCATTTATTCTTCAGGTCTGGCCTTAGTCAAGGCTATGGTACTGAATGAAAGAAACTTGGAAGGTGTCTCCTCTTTCTGCGAAGAAGTCATTTTTCGCAAAGCATGAAGCGAAGCGCGGAGGGAAATATCCTCTCCACGCTTCAGCCATTACAGTAGCAGAAGGTTCGTGGGACGATCTTCGGGCACCGTTAGGGCGTTTCTGCGGACGATGAGCAAGGGTAGCTCGCCCTCCAACCAAAACAAACAGTCCAGCACAGGGCTGTTGTTCAGCCTAGGTGGCGAGCCTAGAGTAATTATGTAATGCCTTAGCCATCAGTAGGAGAAAGAACGGGGTTATTTTGAGTCTGACACTACACTCCCTCTTGCTTAGCCCAGGGTGGGAGAAATCATCTTTAGATACACTTGACAATTATATTTGGCTCCACTGAGAAACTATCGCTTTACCAAATTCTATTAGAATTTTATCAGTTTGCTTAGAAAAAAGGGAAACAACTAGCTCGTAAACAGATTAGTTGAATTAGATCCTCGATATGAATAAGTTTAAGATAAGATTAAGATAAATAATTAGAATTAGGATCAATGTTTTAAAAGATTATTCTGATATGTATTACCGTTTATTGAAAATAAAATGTATATAGTAACTAAATAAAAACTTTTAGTTTGTTGTAAACTAGATCTGCCCAGACGTCTGCACTTTCTAATGGATATTATTTATTACTTAACCATCCTCTTCAATAACTTTGTCTATTAAAAAACCGCGTTTAAATCAGTTGCGTAGTTTTGGAGATTTAAGCATACAAAGGGATATAGGGACAGAGAAAGTGACTATTTTTATACTATGTAGTGATAAAGTGCTCAATTTCTAAAAATCGGTTCACAATTATTACCGAAGTAATCGCGTAATATTCTCAGATACAATATATTATGTCGATTTTAATTGTTCGCCTCGACCAAAGTTTCATTATGGCCTCTACTATACTACTATACTTTACCACTCAAACGGTATGAAACAGCGATCCTTTTGAATAAAAAAATGTATACATAATAACTTAATTAAGTTTTTAACAGTTGGTAAAAAAATATTTATTAAAAATGTGTAAGTACATCACTATAATGTCCAATCCAGTATTGTAAGCTTCAAAGTATATCTGCACTAGTTAAAGCAAAATTAAAAGCTCAGAATGAAAGTGAATACTCATAATATTAGTTTCTTGTAATTGTATTTAGAAATCAATTGTTTAAGACACTATTAAACTAAATTAATTTAATAGAATATCCATCATTTTATATATTTATTGATTTTAAACAGGTATATGGGGAATATTCTTCCATTTCCTGGCCACCCTTCAAACGTCAAACGGAAGGCTTATTTATGAAGATAGTTATAATCTTCAAATACATTCTTAGGTAGATTCTAATAATTAAATTATAGATAGGAATGTAAGATTAGAATTAAAGCGAAAATTTCTAAACTAAATATATGTTAATGATAAAATCATCAAAATACTGCCGATAGATTAATTTAATTAACAACTTTTGATAGTAGGGAAATAAATTGATAGCGATCTTTTAAACGATAAGTATATATTTGCGAATTTATTTTGTTGTTTTATTTTGTGATAATATCAAACTTTTTGCTAAGGTAAATCAACTTTTAAAATAATAATTTAATAGAAATGACATTGTGTAGAACGTGTTTATCTAAAAGCGATCTAAAACAATTATTTCCTGATAAAAATCTCGTAAGTTTACGCATCGAACAGCTATTAACAGTTTGCGGAATCAAGGTAAAATTACTTTTTAAATGATAATAAATAGTACACCAACATAACAATTATTTTTTAAGATACTATCGATTTTTACAAGGACGTTTTTCGAAAGTAAACGTTATTTACCTACAGAACCTGTTTTTCTAATATCTTTAATTAATAATTATTTTTTAATATATTTTATTTTTATTTTATTTACAGATTGAACCGGATGATGGTCTATCTCAGTTAATATGTGATTCTTGCCTAAATCTTTTCAATGGAGCATTAAAACTAAGAGAATTGAGCTCAAAATCAGAAGAAATATTAAAGAAGTCATTAAAAACAATTAAAATTGAATTTGAAACAATTGAAAATAAATCAACGACAAAAGAACTAGAAAAAAATAAAAACTTACAACAAGATGACCATAAACAAAATAAGAAGACGGAGAAAAAGAGGTTTAATATCTCAAAAGATGATTTTTCAGTATGTATTGAAGATTTTGAATCAAGCAATGATTCTGAATTCATGAATAACTTTTTAATTGATGATTTAGATTCTATAAATAGCGATAATGATGTCCCAGTACGCATTGAAGACTTTGAATCCAGCGACAGTCTAGACGAAGAGTTTAAAAATGTAATTAAAAATGAGGCTAAGGATTTTAATAAAATTAATTATTGGGATTCAAAAGAGAAAGAGTTTTTGGAAAGAGAAAATAGAAAACAGCAGACCAAGGTAGGCTTTTAGACATCTAAATTAATTCTACTTTCACATAAAAACAACTTCTAGTAGTCCTACTAGAAGTTGTTTTTTTTATGGGACAAACCCGCCTCACCTTCTCAAACCCACTGCAACTCCTTTACACCAGGATCTACAGTAGATAAAACACTGAAATCCAGTGTCTCAGGGACATGAATAGATGTCTGGGATCACCACCATTATCAGCCTGATTCCGTCCACTGCTGGACATAGCCCTCTTCAATTGCACCCCACCATCTTGAATACAAACATATAATATCATCTTTATTTATAATTAAAAGTTAACTAATTCTATGTATTTTATACCTAAGTGGATGGGCAGGTTAATACCAACTTTTCTTTTTTTTTGGGTTTGTTTTTAATGTAATAGATCGACAAACGAGCAGACGGATTACCTGATGGTAAGCAATCAGCGCCGCCCATGGACACCCGCAACGGGAGAGTTATGAGTGCGTTGCCGACCTTTTCGGGATTAGGGATTTAGAGATTTAGGGATTGAGGAGGGATGAGGGTAGGGGAAGGATTGGGCCTCCGGTAACCTCACTCACACGGCGAAACACAAAACACAACGCTGTGGTTGTTTCACGTCGGTTTTCTGTGAGGCCGTGGTATCACTCCGGTGGAGCCGACCCATTCGTGCCGAAGCATGGCTCTCCCACACTTGATTTAAGAATTACCGTGCTCACTCTTTACCTGATGGTAAGCAATCTGCGTCTCCCACAGACAACAGGCCTTTGGGGGCTCGGGCCAGGGCCTCTACTGTTTTTCATATACATGGGGTATCCCAACATCGTATTACCACGTCTCTAGGGCCGTGATATCATTCTGGTCGAACTGGCACGACAGTACGGAAGTATGCCAATATTTTACACTTTCATATCTGTAGGGAGAAACGACAACCCTATTATTAAGAATCTTATGTCTATCCGTCTGTTTGTCTGTGATATCTGGTCTGTTAAAACTTGGACTGATGATGTAGGAATTTATTTCTGTTGTCAATATAGCAACATAAACTCAACAAAATATCGCAAAGACCTTTCTTGTGCTATAAACTTGATTTCGGTTCACGGCCTCACAGAAAACCGGCGTTGAACACAGCGTTGTGTTTCGCCGTGTAAGTGACGTTACCGGAGGCCCAATCCCTTCCCTTCCCCCTATCAAGAAACCCTGCAATCCAAAACCTTCTAAGGATTAGCCTCAGAAGGTTTTCTTAAAAAAAAAACGTTACCCCACACTAGGATTTTCACCTGTGTCGTGGGTGCGTTTATAAACATACAATTTCACATACACAGCACACCCAGACCCGGAACAACAATCTGTGGATCACACAAAGAGTTGTTCTGCGCGGGAATCGAACCCACGGCACGGTGCGCGGCAGCCAGTTGCCCAGCTGTAGCAGTCTTAAGTGTGGGTGAGCCATGCTTCGGCACGAATGGGTCGGCTCGACCGGAGTAATACCACGGCCTCACAGAAAACCGGCGTGAAACAACCACAGCGTTGTGTTTCGCCGTGTGAGTGAGGTTACCGGAGGCCCAATCCTTCCCCTCCCCCGATCCCTCCCCAATCCTTAATCTCCAAAACACCGCAATTCCTAAGAGGTCGGCAATGCACTCGTAACTCCTCCGTTGCGGGTGTCCATGGGCGGCGCTGATTGCTTACCATCAGGAATTCAACCTATCACATAAAAAAAGACCGGTAACTTCCGTGCAGGAGGTCCGAAGGTTGAGTTTTTATTACATTTTTCTTTATTACAGGAGCAGGATGCCAAACTGCTATCTTTAGCAGCCATTCCATACACTCAAAGTGGCCCTCTTAAGTGCACCCTGTGCAACAAAGTCCTGCGAAACGTACAGAACTTTAAATCACACGCAAAAACACACTTCGAACCACAGAATGCTTGTGAAGTAAGTATTGTATGGAGTAGGGATGTTATTTAGATTATCACATATCTACTCATAAATTAACATTATCATAAATCACTAAATGCCGGCAACGCGCTCGCAATTTTTCTGATGTACCGGTCTATCGGCTGTCTTTATGTAGGTAGATGACAAAAGTCAAAAGTCAAAAATCATTTATTCCAATTAGACCTTTACAGGCACTTTTGAACGTCAAACAAAATTTTGAATATAAGTGTCAGTCTGTCGGTCAGTCCTCTTAGTGAAGTTCGTTCCAAAGTGTAGATTCCGATGGAGAAGAACGAGCAAGAAACTACATGGTTACTATTTTTAAATCAGTTTCACATACAGATTCCTTTTACAAACAGTTGGTTCAATTATGTGAGAACAGTGGAACACTAATATTTATTCAAATATAAAAATAAAGTTACCTTAAGGACAATAAAAAGTCCGGAGCTGACCAGTCCCAACTGACGGCGCCCGTTCACGAGCATGACACATACACCAGCATCGCCCAACTCAACCATATTATAGGGCGCACTTTCTTTGAGACTTTGACGCACTATCTTTGAGTTTCGTCATATTAGAAAGCTGCCCAATCCGCCCTTCAATTCCTAGGATAAATAATTTTGAAATCGCTTTGAGCAAGCATGATGAATATAGCTCAAATCTTCTCCATGTGAGAAGAGGCCTTTCCTCAGCAGTGGCTGATAATGAGATACGAGCAGACGGATAACCTGATGGTAAGCAATCAGCGCCGCCCTTGGAGACCCGCAGCGGAGGAGTTAAGAGTGCGTTGCCGACCTTTTAGGGATTGGGGATTGGGGGAGGGGAAGGATTGGGCCTCCGGTAACCTCATTCACACGGCGAAGCACAACGCTGTGGTTGTTTGACGCCGGTTTTCTGTGAGGCCATGGTATCACTCCGGTCGAGCCGACCCATTCGTGCCGAAGCATGGCTCTCCCACACTTGATGTGTGTCCAAGAATGGTAGTGCCCATGACATACAGGTTGATTTGACTATTTGGCGTCTACAATATTGAGGTCATATTTTCAGGAATGCGGCAAGAAGTTTGTGAACCCTAGTCACATGCGGTATCATCAGCAGCGTGTGCATGGGAGGAGGAAGAGGCTGGCCTGCTCCAAGTGTAGCTACAGGGCCGTCGATCCGTTGCAGTTACAGGTAGTACTAGGATTCTTCATCATCATAATCATCACATCGTCATCATAATCATCACATCATCATTTTCATCGTCATCATCATCAACTTCATCTTTATCATCGTCATCATCATTATCATCAATATCATCGACATCGTCATCATCATTTTCATCGTCAACATCTTCAACTTCACCATCATCTTTATCAATGTCATCTTCGTCATAATCATCCTCATCAACTTTACCATCATCTTTATCAATGTCATCATCGTCATAATCATCCTCATCAACTTCATCTTCATCATCGTCATCATAATCTTCATCATCATTGTCATCAATATTATCAACATCGTCATCATCATTTTCATCGTCATCATCATCAACTTCACCATCATCTTTATCAATGTCATCATCGTCATAATCATCCTCATCAACTTCATCTTTATCATCGTCATCATCATCTTTATCATCAATATCATCAACATCGTCATCATCATAATCTTCATCATCATCATCAACTTCACCATCATCAATGTCATAATCATCCTCATCAACTTCATCTTCATCATCGTCATCATTATCTTCATCATCACCTTCATCATCATTATAATAATCATCATCGTCATCATCATCAACAACTTCGCCATCATCTTCATCATCGTCATCATCATCATCATCGTCGTCACCGTCGTCATCATCGTCTTTATCTGCATCATTATCATTACCACCATAATCTTTACCACCATCATAATCTTTACCATCATCATCATCATCTTCATCATCATCATAATCTTCATCATCTTCATCTACCAGAATATTTGATTTATTAACCAAAAATGAGTTCGGCAAACGAGTAGACTGATTCCTATCTGATGGTAAGCAATCAGCGCCGCCCATGGACACTCTTAATAGTATCAAAGGAGTTACTACAAGTGCGTTGTCGTCTTCTTGTAAGTTATTAGAGATTTAAGGATAGGGAATTTGAGAATTAAGGCTGGAGTGATACCACGGCCTCACAGAAAACCAGCAATGCTTCCCCTCCCCCAATCCCTAAATCTCTAAATTCCGAATCCCCAAAAGGTCGGTAACGCACTCGTAACTTCTCTGTTGTTGCGCTAGTCCACGGGCGGCGTCCGACCTTTTAAGGATTAGGGATTTGGAGATTTAGGGATTTGGAGATTTAGGGATTGAGGGTGGGGAAGGATTGGGCCTCCGGTAACCTCACTCACACGGCGAAACACAACGCTGTGGTTGTTTCACGCCGGTTTTCTGTGAGGCCGTGGTATCACTCCGGTCGAGCCGACCCATTCGTGCCGAAGCATGGCTCTCCCACACTTGAAGCACTGCTTACCATCAGGTAATCCGTCTGCTCGTTTGCCGAACTATGACCGACTTTATGAGCCTCAATTTCTTACAGAATCACATCCGCGCAGCCCACACAGGGGAGCGGCCGTACGTGTGTGATGTCTGCGGCGATTCTTTCCGAATGCGAGCCAACATCGCACAGCATATGCGGAGGCATTTCGGAGTCAGAAATCTGCAGGTAACTATCCCATCCAAGGTTAGAAACCGCATTTCGTAAACTCTCTTAATCGAGCGTTTACGAGATGCGGTTTCCCAAACGAAGCCGAATTTTTTTTTTACTTGCAATAAACTAGTGCTTGACTGCGATCCCACCTGATGGTAAGCAGTGATGCAATCGTTGATGGTAAGGCGCACTAGTTTATTAAGAGCCTATTCACTCTAGCCTTGAAGACACCTAAATTATATTTGGACGGAAAGACTGCAGCCCGCAAACTGTTCCAATCCCTCGATGTACGCGGTATAAATGACGAGGCAAAACGCTTAGTCCGGGCCGCAGGTGTCTCAACAATGAATAATCTCAAGGCTCAATTATGGAAGCTTCTAAACCGATTTCAATATATTTTTTAATGTTATTTGTCGATATACTAGCAGACGGATTACCTGATGGTAAGCAATCAGCGCCGCCCATGGACACTCGTAGTACCAAAGGAGTTACTACAAGTGCGTTGTCGACCTCTTGTGGGTTATTAGGGATTGAGAGATAGGGGATATGAGGATTGTACATGGAGATCCCTTCAACTTCACCAGGTAACTCTCTGTCTAAAATGAGGATACACGTCATCAGCCTATAAGTGTCCATTTCTTTTTTGTGTCATAAGTCAGCAAACGAGAAGACGGATTACCTGATGGTAAGCAATCAGCGCCACCCATGGACACTCGTTATACCAAACGGAGTTACTACAAGTGCGTTGCCGGCCTCTTGTGGGTCATTAGGGATTTAAGGATAGGGAGATTTAAGGATTGAAGATGGAGGTGTAGGTAGCTCCACTCACACGGTGAAACACAAGCTGTGTTTCAAGCCGGTTTTCCACAATCTTATTAAACTCTTCTCCTCAAATAAAATCTTCTGATTTATTTCGTCGAGGGATCCAAGACGGTCATTATGTCCCTGGGACGCGCTGGACTTCAGTTCCGGTGTTTTCATGGTTGTATCTACTGTAGATCTTGGTGCACAGGAGTTGCAGCGGTTTTGGGAGGTTGCGGCGGGGTAGTTCCGCGCCTCAAAGAGCCTATAGACCACCACATACGGGGCCCTATAGGGCTAATGTTCAGTTGGGGTTGCGGGGTAAGCGCAATGCGGCACCGCGACCTCGGACAAGAGCAGGAGAAGGAACAGGGGGGTTTTTAGTCAGTAACAGCCTGTCACTCCCTTCCGCCCGACCCTTGTCTTGCTTTGCTAAGCAGTGGGCACTTATAAGCTGATGATGATGATGATGTTTCAGTGTGATAGATGTCCCGCCATGTTCCGCAGCCGCTCAGAGCTGACGAGTCATCAGAACCGAGTGCACTATCTCCTTTATACCTACCATTGCTACCTCTGTCCAGAGACGTGAGTATCTTACTTCTTACTGTTATCTTACTTCTTACGAGCTATGCTTCGGCACGAATGGGTTGGGGCAATGAGGCACCGCGGTCTCGGCCCAGAGCAGGAGAAGGAACAGGGGGGTTTTTAGTCAGTAAGAGTCTGACACTATGTTTCGTATTTATTTGTTGTGGGTTACCTATATTATTATCTTTGCCCATTATGGAGCCTATGTTATATTAGTTTCCCTGACAAAAAAATAAATACAAATGATACAAAGGGCACGGTTAGATTAATTTTGGAAACCATCTAGCCAGAGCATAGTTTACTCAATTCACTTTGAAGAGATATATTTATGACAAAGGTGGTTTGAAAACAGCATATCCTACTAAGATATATCTATACTAATTATAATGCTGAAGAGTTTGTCTGTTTGTTTGCTAGAATGCGCTAATCTCAGGAACTAAGTAAAGTAAGTAGACTTCTAATCTTTAGTTCCGAGTCTAAAGACAATACATATAAAAAACTAAACCAGCAAAAGGGAACGCAATAAAACCTTTGTACTTATTGAAGCTTTATTTTATTTGTTGTGTATAGTAGGTGTAACTAAAATTAACAAATCCAGAAATCGTCAACTTTTATGATACCTCTATGAAATGTGTGAACAACTAGTCTGTTGCATTTATCGTAAGTTTACCTATTTTGTTGGGTTTACTCGTAAATCATCAAATGACTTCTCCCTGTCTAAAAATAAAAATCCCTAAGACTACATCGTCCGACTTTCGAGCGACGTAGCCTGCCCATTGCCAGTTCAGCTTGCATATTTTACGAGCTTTTTTTATGGTATAGGTCGGCAAACGAGCAGACGGATCACCTGATGGTAAGCAATCAGCGCCGCCCATCGACACCCGCAACACCAAAGGGTTTACGAGTGCGTTGCCGACCTTTTACGGATAAGGGTTTCGGATATTTAGGGATTGGGAAGGGATTGGGCCTCTTGTAACGTCAGTCACACGGCGAAGAACAACGCTGTGGTTATTTCACGCCGGTTTTCTGTGAGGCCGTGGTTTCACTCCGGTCGAGCCGACCCATTCGTGCCGCAGCTTGGCTCTCTCACCCTTGTGACTTTGATTCTTTGGAGAATTTAATAGTAATGTAGGCTAAAAAACCTTGTATCCAGGTTTCTTTATTTTTTTTGTGAACGAGTGAGGTGTGAACAGAGGAATGATTTAAGACGGACAGAGGTAGGAAGACGTTTTTTTCTAAGAAGTATTTTGTTTTTTTGTAAAAGAAGTGAAAATAAAATAATGAAGTCATTATATTCGAGCCACGTTATTTTATTTCGGCCTCAATCCTACAGTAATAACCCATAATTCTATTTTTAGTTACAAGCGGCCTGCTTCAGTGAAGAAGCATTTGGCGAACGTCCATGGCATTCAGAGACATCTCCAGCTGCCTGTCAAGTGTGTTAAGACTAAACGCAGGTAGGTTAAGCAGGGATCCTAGTTTTGGAGGGGCGAAAATCATCCAATGACTTTCTCACTGCCTTAGGTGGGGTGAGAGAGAGTGTCAGACTTTTACTGACTAAAAACCCCCCTGTTCCTTCTCCAGCTCTGGGCCGAGGTCGCGGTGCCTCATTGCGCTTGCCCCGCAACCCCGTCTGATCATCAGACTTATTGGGACCCATTTTACATGATTGGTGTTATGGTGATTTTAGACAATTTCAAATTCATTTATTCATTTTGTGAACATAGGTGATTACTGGTGTTTTCGCAATATTTTGTTGTATAGACCATGTCCCGCCTATAGGCATAAAAAGCAGTATTATGAAGATAGTGATGTCGATATAAATGAAATGTCAAAGATTACATGCTCGACAAATTATAAAATTCATAATTAATTTTAAATTGCAATGAACTAGGGAGCATGTTATGAAAATAGAAAAATAATATAAAAAAGAAATAGATTAAAAAATAAACTTCAATTAATGAATGTACCTAATATGTCAAAATTTGTCATCCACCTTGTCATTAAGTCCCGAGCGTACGGCGCGTAGTGTTCCGCGCGCGCCTCAAAGAGCCAATAGACCACCACAGACGGGACCCTATAGGGCTGATGTTCAGCTCTGGTTGAGGGGTAAGCGCAATGAGGTACCGCGACCTCGGTCCAGAGCAGGAGAAGGAACAGGGGGGTTTTTAGTCAGAGTCTGACACTCCCTCTCGCCCGGCCCTGGGTGGGAGAAGTCATTTGATGATTTTCACCTCACAAAAAAAAGAGCTTACTTTTGAAGTCACTATTATTATTAGTAAGAGTCTGGCACTCTCTCTCCCCTCACCCTGGAGGGATAAACTACTAGATGATTTTCCACTCGGAAAAAGAAAAACCATGATAGGAATAACTAGCTTTTACCCGCGACTTTAATCGCGTGGAAAAGTGACTACCTGCAGATTTTTGATTTAAAAACTATTCTATGTCCTTTCAATATACCAAATTTCACAGAAATAGGAATAGAAAAGACAGACAGACAGACAGACAGACAGAGTTACTTTCGCATTTATAATATTAGTTTGGATGGACGGTCGCAAACGGCACCGATGGATCACCTTTCCTTTAAAAAACTGGCCCAAAAACACGTTGATTTTATAATATGTATTTTTCTTTCTTTTACAGTAGCTGTGATGGTCCTGACTGAATATTGAAGATCTTCAAGCTGAACCTCACAAGAAGCACGGCAGAAACCAATTATGTTAACTGACGTACCTACTGATTGTTAAACCGTCGTTAATCACCAACAAAATTGCCATGAGTGGTGATTAATATTATCGCAGAAAACTTCAGATAAAAACGCTATACATTAAGTAAAATAGTGTAGTTTAGAGATTGTTGCATTTACGTTAATCACCACCTTGATCACCAGTATTGGTGATTTATTTTGAATAGTCGCGGGCAGCGGTAAAGGCGCTCAGCTTAACCTCTGGGGCACAACGACTGTAAACTGTGCTCCTAGATAATTTTCAATAGCAAAATATTGTGGCTCTGTAACACAGAGCGCAGTATTTATAAAAAACAAAACGGGATAGTTCGGGAAAAGAGCTGACGGATTACCTGATGGTAAGCAATGGGCTCCGCCGCACCAGTGTGGCAGATGCTTCGGCACGAATCTGTCGGCTCGACCGGAGTGATACCACTGCCTCAGAGAAAACCGGCGTGTAAAACCCATAGCATTGTTTGAATGAAGTTACCGGACGCTTTATCCCTCCCCCCACAATACTTAAATTCAAGTCCACTAGCGGCCCAAGAGATGATCTCCGGCCACCTAGAGCGCGGGTCTGCGATCGGCGAGTAAGAGCAGCTCGCCGCCCGACCAGCACCGGACCCGAGCGTACGGCGCGTAGCGTTCCGCGCGCGCCTCAAAGAGCCAATAGACCACCACAGACGGGGCCCTATAGGGCTGATGTTCCGCCGGGGTTGCGGGGTAAGCGCAATGAGGCACCGCGACCTCGGCACAGAGCAGGAGAAGGAACAGGGGGGTTTTTATAGTCAGTAAGAGTCTGACACTCCCTCCCGCCCGGCCCGGGGCGGGAGAAGTCATTTGATGATTTTCCCCTCACAAAAAGAAGTGCATTAGCGTGCGGGACATTGTAATAAAATTTTAAAAGTATTTTATACATTTCCACAAGAAATTTTTGATTGTTTTTTTTTCTGTAATTGGTCTGCAAACGAGCAGACAGATTGCCTGATGGTAAGCAATCAGCGCCGCCCATGGACACCCGGAACGGAGGAGTTACGAGTGCGTTCCGACCTTTTAGGGATTAGGGATTTGGAGATTTAGGGATTGAGGAGGGATTGGGGACGGGGAAGGATTGGGCCTTCGGTAACCTCACGCACACGGCGAAACACAACGCTGTGGTTGTTTCACGCCGGTCTTCTGTGAGGCCGTGGTATCACTCCGGTCGAGCCGACCCATGGCTCTCCCACACTTCAAAATCAATGATTTTGAAAACTTTGAATCATTGATTGAAGTAACTCCTTTGGTGTCGGATGTCCATGGGCGGCGGTGATTGCTTACCATCAGGTAATCCGTCTGATACTTTGACACCTTATCACATTAAAAAAACAAATCTGTACTTAAATTTGTCTAAGAGCTAATTTTTCAATGGTTAGATAAAAGTTACCTGGGGAATAATTATGATGCTGTCGCGTCACAATGTTTGTATAAGACAGTGACAGCAACAATTTTATTCCTCAGAAAACATTTATCTGACTATTGAAATCAGTCCTAAGTTATGTACTTACGTGTATTATATAGTATAATAAATAAAATTTCTAGAAACTGTGTTGTTTTTCTTCATCCAATCATCATCAGCCTATAAGTGCCCACTGCTGAGCAAAGGCCTCTTTTCATACGGAGAAGGTTTGAGCATTAATCACCACGCTTGCTCAATGCGGGTTGGCGATTTCAAACTTACAATTACTAATTACAAGTCCAGGTTTCCTTACGATCAGCCGACGTTGTAGTACCACCAGGCCTCGGCCTAAAACAGGAGAAGGAACGGGGGGTTTTTTAGTCAGTAAGAGTCTGGCACTCCCTCTCACCTCACGCCGGGCTAGGGAAGTCATAAGTCCAGGTTTCCTCACGATGTTTACCTTCACCGTATGTCAGTGGTGTCTAAAAAATCATAGAATAAAATAACTGCGGTGAATTTGTATGATTATAAACGCACCCACGACACAGGAGAAAACTACTAATATTTGTATATAACAAGGTCGAAAAATATGATCGAATGGGTCGGCTGGACTGGAATAATACCACGGCCTCACAGAAAACCGATGTGAAACAACCACAGCGTATTCCTATATCCCTTATCACTAAAAGGCCGACAACGCACTCGTAACTCCTTTAGTGTTGCGGGTGTCCATGGGCGGCGCTGATTGCTTACCACCGGGTAATCCGTCTGATCGTTTGCCGACCTATTACATAATAAAAAAGTGGGTATTTCACGAATTACGCTTGTCACTTTACTTTGGCAAAGTGAAATTCATAAGTACCCACTAATATTACAAAGAGATAAAATTTGTAAGTTTGTATGTAGGGGGTAATCTTTGGAACCGCTGGTTGGATTGCCAAAATTCTTTCACTGATAGACAGCTACAATGTTCCTGAGTGCTATATATAGGCTATAAATTATAGCGTGTAAAGCCGCGGGCGGAATAAATGTATAAAAAACCAATGCCACTTTTTGTTGTAATGTAATACCTCAACAATGCCTTTACCGATTTGGTTAATTTTGGTCTTGAATTATTCGTGGAAGTCCAGAGAAAGGTTTGTATGTAGAGAAAATTAAAAAACAAGTAAAAAGTGTAAAATCGACATCAGTGCAAATGCAAAAAATAAAATTAATAAATTTGGTAGGTAGACGAACATTCATCATCATCATCATCAGCCTTTAAGTGCCCACTGCTGAGCAAAGGCCTCTTCTCACACGGAGAAGGTTAGAGCATTAATCACCACGCTCGCTCAATGCGGGTTGGCGATTTCAAACTTATAATTAGAAATTAGTCTTAAAAGTCCAGATTACCTCGCGATGTTTACCTTCACCGTATGTCAGTGGTGTCTAAATAATCATAGAAAGTACATATAACTCGGAAAAGTCACATTGGTAATTGCCAGGTTTTGAAACGACACCCTCATGCATGAGAAGCGGGCTCCTTAACCTCCGGGCCACCATGACATTTAAATGATTTGACAGCTAGACGAAAATTAAAGCTAATTATTTTATAGACGTAGTAGTGAAACAACGTTGGCGTTGTGTTTCACCGTGTGAGTGAGGGCAATGGAGTCCCAATCCTTTTACCCTCATCCTTAATCCCCGATTCTTTTTCTCGCGCCTGCAACTCCTTTGGTGTTGCGGGTGTCCATGGGCGGCGCTGATTGCTTACCATCAGGTATACGTCTGCTCGTTTGCCACCTTTATTCTTATTATCATGTTTTTTCTTCAGAGTTGAAAATCGTCTAGTATTTTATCCCGTCCTTGGTAAAGCGAGAGTGAGTGTCAGACTCTTACTGACTTAAAAAAACCACCACGACACCATTCATCTTAGTTGGAGCCGAAAAGGGCTGATGTTCAGCCGGAGTTGCGGGTGCTTAAGCAATAATTTACAGCGGTCCCTGACCAGAGCAGGAGAAGGAACGGGGGGTTTTTAGTCAGTAAGAGTCTGACACTCTATCTCTCCTCACCCTGGGCGGGAGAAGTCATTTCTCTCTCTTTATAGTACCTACATAGAATTCTAAAGTGTATTTTTCTCGTGAAATAGTGACTTCCTGCAGATTTTTGGTTTAAAAAACTATCCTATGTCCTTTCTCGAGTTCCAAACTATGTCTGTACCAAATTTCACACAAATAGGTTCTGTAGTTTAGACGTGAAGAAAAAACAGACAGACAGAGTTACTTTCGCATTTATAATATTAGTTTGGAAATTGTGTGGTTTTGATTATTCTGCCTACCTTAATCAAATTAAATAAGTATCTAAGTATAGTTAAGCTAATTGACGCAAAAAGTTTTTATCGAAAAGTAATCTTTACCTACCTACAACTTATTAAAAACATTGTCAGTGGTTTTGTCATTAAGGCGCACAGTTCCCCTTAATAACCTCGAGCATGCTAACGCACGACTAGGGTTGCCACCCG